TATAATATTTACAAAGATTTATACGTAGTTCATTGCTGTATTGGAATTAACTGCAAAATGTTTATAAGAACATGGTTTTTAAGTTATTTCTATGATATAATTTAATATCTCTACTTTTTGTGTTACTTGGGCGAGAATGTTAGTTAAGATTATTATCTTTTAATGGAAACTACAGTTTACCAGATGTTGAACACGATAACAAAATAAAAATCTACGTCGACTTACATTGCTAATATTACGTTAAAAATATTCTATTGTGTTGTACATGTTAGAAAATCTCATTTCTTAAGATTTCTATGATACGAATACTTTTATATTCTTTAGCCTATAATATTATATAATATTTTCAGAACTTTTTAATCAATCTTTATCTATACTAATATTATAAAGAGGCACAGTTTGTTTGTTTGTTTGTTTGTTAGATCGCGCTAATTTCAAATACTAATCCGATTTGAAAAATTATTTTTGCATTCGATGGCCGTTTATTGAGGAAGGCATATATCATATTATATATTATCATGCTACTACACAAGAGAGTGGAGTAGTAATCATAAATGTCAACAAATCGGGCAGACTTACATACATTATTGTTAAACTATATATTATTATTATAAACTAGCGACTCACCCTCGCTTCGCTCGGGTTCGTCCATAGCTTGCTTTTGCTTCCCAATACAAACTTTCAACCCCATTTTCACCCCCTTAAGAGGTGATTTCCGGGATAAACAGTATTCTTTGTCCTTCCTAGGGTCTAAAAGTATCTTCTTACCAAATTTGATCTAAATCGGTTCAGTAGGTCCGGAGATTGCCCCCTACAACGTCACAAACAATCTCACAAACTCACAAACTTTACCTCTTTTTAATATTAGTATAGATACATAGCGAAGCGAGGGTGAGTCACTATATAACGTAAAGCTAAAGGGTTTTTTTGTAGATTGTTCTGCTCCAATAAAACATACGTATCAATCTCGTAGACTTTACATTAATTCAATTTTTATTACTAGTATATAGAGTCCAAATCATAGATGATTTAAGAGATAAAACTAAAAAAATATAGTATAGTATAAATCTTAGTGTTCAAATGTTAAATGTTGAATTTTTTTTATATATTTGATAATGAATTCTAGTGTAGTGTATCTAGAACATCTTTTTATAATTAATTAACACATAACTATTATATATAGACTATTACATGACGCCATCGTATTGAAGAGAGGCCCGTACCCATCAAGGGGACGTTGATAATGCCTGAACACAAATATACATACAATCAACATATATTAATTTCAAATAGCCAAAATGTCATAATAATACAAACATTATTAGTAGCTCTAAGTGTTTAAGGAAATCCTGCATTGAAATATTAAATTGCGAAAATGACTTACTTTCCAATATTACTCATAGACTGTTAACATTAAGTGCATTACATTGGGATAAATCAGCATACAGTGTTTTATGTAACAATACTTGTTTTCCGGTTTGAGAGCTCTTTCGGAAATGCCGTTATGTTGTCACTGACCTACACCTACTATTATTTAAAAATTTCAAAATTAGTGCAATTTTAATGTTAACCTTCGTTATCTATTAATTTATCTTCAAACTAGGGACTCACCCTCGCTTCGCTCGGGTTTGTGCCTAGGTACATTTTATTTTTTTGAGCGGAACCCTAATTCTTGTACTGAAATAAAAGTAGCCTAAGTTACTCCTTATAACATCAACTACCTGCCAGTAAAAGTCCCATCAAAATCGGCCCAGCCGTTTCGGAGATTAGCCAGAACTAACAGACAGGCAAAAAAATTAAAAATTATGTTTTTTTATAAATACCGTATATAATTCCATATGCATTTAGTAAAAAGCTGTTATTTTGACATTACAAACAGACACTTCAATTGTTTAGTTGAATTTAAATTTATCTGTATAGATTACTCTAAATTTGGGCAAAAAAATAGTGGATATCCTATGGAAACTATTTAGTATGGCGATATAAAACAGTGTGTTATTCTCTTCCTTATAGTCTATGTCATGAATCATGTAGATTCTTTGTTTACCTGCTACATAACCTCGTTTCGCTCTAGTGCGCCCCTAGCTACGTTTTGATTTTTTGAGCGGAACCCTAATTCTTTTTCTAAAATGAAAGTTGCCTAAATTACTCCTTATAATATCAACTATGTGGTAGTGAAAGTCCTGTCAAAATCAGCCCAGCCGTTTAGGAAATTAACCTGAACAAACAGACAGACAGACAGACAGACATATAAAAAATTTAAAAATTGTCTTTTTCTTATAAGTGCCGTGTTCATCATATGCATAATAAAAATACATTATATGCATTTAATAAAAAGCTTTTATTTATCTGTATAGAAAGATATTCTCGCTGTGCAGAAATAGAATCCACGACATCTGTCGTAATAAGGTAGCGCCAGATCTGCTTCACTGCACGATGACTGATATTGACATAATAAATGTAATTATGTAGAACCAATCAACACTCACGTCAATTAAAGAATCATTTCCAGTATGTCACCCGATCTGGAATTCATGCAGTTTTACGCGCGGCTAAATGTTAAAGGCTACTGTGACGAAAGTTATGGGAAAAGGTCATTTCAAGGCAACATAGTAATTGGACACTAATTAAGTTATGCAATTAACGAAATATATATTATAATAAATAAATTAGTTTAATTTTCCTGATTGAGATTATATTATGTAAGGGTTTTTTTTATTTATATAAAATTGTAAATCTTTTTAAATTTTTACTAGACCAATCTCTAATTAGTCATTATTTTTCCGATTAAAATTGAACCTTCTTCAGGAATAATCAAAAAAGCTTACAAAATAATTGATTAGATTTTATTTTTAGCTACGCTCGCATTTAACAACTATAAAAGTAGTGTATTGTCTTCTTACTCGACTCCAATAATTGCCGATTAACTCGTTGTTTGAACCAATTTGCTTGAACTTTCTGTCTTATATCTCTAGGAACTTTTTCTTTAACGAGACAAAACAACAGTTCAGCCGTAGCAGTTACAAACTAACATACGTTTTTTTTTAATTAATAATACTTATTTGTTAGATATCTGTTTATAATTCTGAATCATAGAAAGAATGTACTATCGTATATGAATTTAGATTTACTTCCTCAAAAATATGACCAGCAAGAGTATTTAATTTAGTATTATATACCCTTGCTGGTTATATTTTTGAATAATATACTAATGTATATTTTTGTAATTTCTTGAAGTGAATGCTGTGTGCTGTGCTGTGCTCTTACGGGAGTATTAGTACAACGATGACAAAGAGATCTTTTAAGTAACATTAGGTATTTTAGGCACTGGTTACGTAAAGTAGGTGCTCGTAAGTCAGCCATTAGCATAACAACAGAGTTCATAATGAGAGCAATTAGCAGCGGTCTGCTTCAAACTTTCATTTTTTTTTAAGTGAATACCTATATTTTTAGATATTTTTTTATTTTTTCTTATGGTGAGGACTGGTCTCTTTGAGAGACTGAATGGTGTACTTATACTACAACCCGATACGACTGAATTTCACCCATTTACCACATAAGCTATTTCTGTTATTGTTTTAAATAATAAAATCGTTTTTATTTTTAAATATAAATAAAAAAAACTTCTCGTGTATTGTAATAAGCTTGTCCCGTTAGCTGAAATCGTTTATTAGACGTCAAAAGCTCTCGAATACCTTATGATAAATGTATCGGCTTCCAGAATCTATTAAAAGCTGAGTCATAGGTCAGATAGGTCATTTTTTTTAAATCACCTCACACACACACACACCCCTCCTGCCAATTAAATGGTTTTTGGATATGTGAAAAATTCCCGGTATATAACAAAGCTAAAAGGAAATTTATCACAGCTAAGTAGGCTTTACAAGTTTACGAGTAATAGTCGACCAACTTATAAAATGTACTTAGAACAGTAAAAATGTTTAAATTCCATTGAAAATTACTTATATTACGTTTTTAGTTGTGTAAAACAGGTAGTAAATATAAATTTATGAACCATGTAAAAACATACAAAAATAATCATAAAATCCTTAACGATTTTAGATGTTATGTTAGTATTTATAGTACGAAACAACAAAAAGCCCTCTTCTTCGTCCGCATTATTATGATGGGCAACTACGGAACCGCCCGACACGCACTTGTATTGGTAATATTTTTTATTTAATATATTTTAGAGTTAATATAAGTAAATGAAAATGTTAAGTAACTTAATTTGTTTATCTTAACAAATTCTGTATGGTCTATATGCAAATATGATATCGTAAAGCTCAGGATAAAAAACACAAAAGCATATTCAACAATAACTATTTTAATTTGTATTAGTAGATTAACTATTGAGGTGAAGCACTAACACAGATGGATTGGGCAAAAAAAATAATAGTTTATTATTAGAATAGTTAGGAATGCTTGGGATAACTCATTAAACAACAGAAAGGAAATTATAAAGCAAATTAAAATACATATATAATAAATAATTTCAATTATTAATTAAAATTGACGAAAATTTAAAGGTCAGGTTTTTGTAGCCCAGTCAGTTAGTTCTCTGTGAACCACTTATATCAGAATTAGGTATTTTGTCGCATTAAGCGAAATATCATATATTATTCATATTTCATTACATACATTTTTTAAATTATAATCCATTAAGCATAAAGAAATTTTTTGACTCCTGTTAAAAACCTCAAACTTAACATTAGTCAAAATTTTCACACAGAATCAACTTGTTACTACAGTTTTGACCAATCAAAGTTACGTAGGTAGTTTTTCAAACTTATGTCTTGCGTATTGATAGACGAGAAGACGCCAAAGTGATACCATAAGAATACCATTTATTATTGGTTTCGAACTGCTTATTAGTCAACAATAAAAAAAAATTACATAGGTATGTAATTTTAAAAATATACGGTAATATCATTAAAACTTTCCACAATTTCCCAACTAAAACTATAATTGATAGCAAAAACCTTAAATCTAATATTTACCTTATCAGCTTCAGACGCACGAACCAAAATCTTGAGTCTCGGGTTGTTTTTCCTATATTCCTTTAAGAGCGAGTCAAGTTTTTCTCCTCTCGCGTCGCCCGCGTACACGAGATGCGTGCATTCAGCAAAATCGCCCGCGTTTTCCACGTAACATACAAGGCGGGCGGCGCCGGCGCCTGCGCTTTCCGCCGTCAAAAACGCCGTGAAGACGCATACTAGCAGAAACCACATGTTAAAAATCATATCAAAAATATCTTTCCATCCTTTGAAAAGCGCGTTAGTTGTTCGATCACCGCAGTACGAGTGGCAAAGTCGCCGCGGCCGGCCGCTGAGATTGCCGCCCCCGCCCGTGGTCGCAAGGCCACGTTCACTAAGCTTCGGGCACTGTCAATGCTTTCGTGTCACTCATATGTTGCAATTGTGGAATATTTTTAGAACGTATGTAACATTAAAATTTGCGACCGGTCAAGTAGTTTTTTTTATATAGAGCATCAAAGCTTTACAAATGAGGCATTCAAATTTTCAAACATAAAGTAGGATTGTGAAATAAGTACATAATATTCATTTCAAATTTTTTTATAATTTCTTACTTCGTGTCTTACCATGTTTTATATTTTTGTCATTGTTATAAGTAACGTGTTATATTCGTTGAGTACGTAGAAAGAACAAGGGTGGATGAATGAAGGCATTGCTGTACTAATGTTAATTCAATATTACATACTGCAATGTTATTAAGAATATATTTTTTTCATTATAATGATTGCAAGAAAGTTAAGGAAAATAATATACTAGCCTATACTCTACTTTCCGCAGAATACAGGGCATTCCGGGATATAGAGCAGCTTACGATGCTGCGGTGCACTTTATCCTCGGCACAAATATCTGTAACATAAATATTAGCCACGCGAGAGTAGTGAGTGAGAGTAATTCTACAAAACGATACTAATGCATTATTTATTATTTATAAAAATATCCACACGACATCAATATGATGTATTAATAGAATAACTGATACATAACAATGATAAGCAATATCTTTAAATAGCTAGTAACGGTAAATCACGCTTGAAAGGCCAGGGCTCATATACCCGGATGAACATTGATTTCATCGGTTCAACGCACAGACAGAACAACAGTAGTATTAACTATTTACTTCATACTATTAGCCATTATTGTATAATTTGATATTTGATTCGGAATATTATGATTCGGTGCCTAACAGCCTATGCTACTCCAAGTCATAATCAATCTGTGTACAAAATTTCATTGAAATCCGCCCAGCCGTTACAGAGTGATGTAGTAACAAATATACACACATACAAACTTTCAGATTCATTATTGTATATATATATATATTAATTATTACTACTCATTGTAGTCAAATTATTTAATCTCTATAAATGTCTTTGTGAGGCCTAAGGGAAGTTTCATGAGTTACACGCACACCCGGACGTTTTCTAATTATTTACCAACAACTTGCGAAAGTAGAGCTTCAGAAGAGAAATTTTATCGGATATGATTTTATCGGATAATTTGCTATTTATTACTTATAGTACTACTAACAGGTAGGCAGTAATAGTTAAAGCAACATTATTATGTACATTGTACGTATATATATACATATGTAAGTAGTATATACGAACTTCCATACTTAATTTCCAAGCAATGAGCGAAAGATTCAAAAAGTAACTTTTACTTTTTTCTTCGTTACTTACGTTTCGTTTTTTTATATTTTTATGAATTTAGAGCATTCCTGTTATAATAAATATTTTAAAAGTTTTGTGTAAAATGCAATTATTAAAAAATATACCTATCTATATCTATACCTACATATAATAAAATTCTGAATTAAATCTGTACATCTGTTTTTTTTTTGGAAAATCTTATTAAAATACACATTATTATCGATACAGAGATCGAATCTATAGTTTTTAGAATTTTTGTCAGTCTGTCTGTCTGTGTGTCCGTATTACAGATAAACCACTGGAGAGATTTTCATAAAATTTGGTATAAATATAGCTAGTTTTCCGGGTCAACACAGGATACTTTTTACTGCAGGAAAATATCTCATCTCTGAGAAATCTATACTAAACGTTAAAACGAAAGTAGGGACGAACCCGAGCGTAGCGAGGATGAGTCGCTAGTTTACTATAACAAGGATATACATACCTAAGTGTAACACGCAGCAACAACATCTATACTTATAAAGCTTGACATTATCTGTAGTATGTGTCAGGAGCTTGTACCAAAATTAGTAATTTCTAAAGGGCTTTTTGGATCTGTATAAATTGGTCAAGCCGGATAGTTCGAGCCGCATTTACACAATTCATTGATTGATAACTTAGTAAGTTCTAAGTACATAGCTAAGTTATTAACAAAATAGTAGGTACTTGATATTAATTAAAAGGTGAAATCTATCATTTTCACACTAGATTTTAATAACAAAATAATTAAATAAAAAAGCATATTTTTAGTATCAGAAGAATAGATATTTTCATCTCTTTTTTATTTATTTATTTATTCATTATGTAAATGTCTACTTAAAAACAAGTATATTAATTAGCTTAGCTATTAGCAACCAATTCAAAAAGAAAATATATATTCTCAAATTTATGTCTGTTTCTTACATAACCTATTACTAAAAACAACTACTAAAAGGTACTAGTTTTAAGGTTAATATAAAGTCGTAATTTAAATTTTTACTTAAAAAGTTACTATGTAATAAAATAATAATGTCCATTTGACCGATAAGAGATCAGGCGCAGGACCGACGTCTTCACGCGGTCTCCGAGGCATGGCGGTTTGTCACCACCAACTTTCTTTTTGCCACTTTTATCCTCTAGATAACGAGTAGTTCTATTAATTATAAAGTACTAATAAATTGTCACTAAATACATAAGTCACTAAATATATAAGATAAGCTTATCAGTAAAAATACACATTTTTTGTTAATATACAAATTGTTTTAGAGTAATATTTTGCACGTCACATTTGCACAATTATGCAAAATGTTGGATCTACTATTTGTTATTTGCGCCTCGGGCAGGCATGTACACCAGTTCACCTAATGAAGACCATGGTCAGGGACCACTCCCTGTGTGAATGTGGTCTTGAAGAATTTTTTTAATACTGTATGTAGCCAAATTAATCCGAAATCTCAGGGCCGATTTACGTGATTCTTGTATTTAGGTTCTATAAGAATATTATAATGAATCCGGATCTAAAAAATCTTCTATGTTTTAAAGTATCTGATACTGGTAGTTGTTAATTTGCAAAATAAATACAGCACCGACTTTATTATATAACTAGTCACATACCCCCGCTTCGCTCGGGTGCGTCCCTAGGTAAATATATATAGCGTTGCTACAGTTTAATTGGAAGATATTTTTAAGAGAAATAATTGTGTAATAGATTATTTTCATATAGTAAGTTTATTACTTTACGCGGCGCATACCAATAAAGCTCCCAGTCATCATAATTTTTTTCCGACATCTTCAACAATCATCGTCATATTTTAGTGAATTTACACAAAACCATAATAAATTATACACCTAAAACTTCCTAATGAATCACTCCATCTATTAGTAAAAACTGCATGGAAATTCGTTTGGAAGTTTTTGAGTTTATCGCGTTCAGACAAACAGACGCGATGAGGGACTTTATTTTATAATATGTATGGAATATAGATATAACTTTAGAATAAACATAGGTAATATTTATAAAGAGTAGCTGGGCAATCGAGCTTTGTTTTGCGTTTGTTTTTTTTTTGTAAAATCGTGTTTTTTCGGAAAAGATATAAAAATTGCTAGTATCTAAATACAAAATTAGATCCAAATTGTTAGAGCTCTTTCCGAGATACATGAAAAAATTTATATATACCTATACGTAGAAGAATTGCTTATTTAATATTATAATATTAAAACACAATCACAGTCAAACAATTACACAAAATCAGGCACACCTATAAAAGTACATATTTTTTTTTTACTTGTATTCAGCCCTTTTTAACGTCCCACTGCTGGGCACGGGCCTCCCTTCAATACGAGGGGGATCGGATTTTTTACTTAATGAAAGAATTTCCGTAGTTTTAATAGACTATCTATCTATGAGAAGTAATATTATATTTTCGTACAGCAAGCTCTTCGTGAGCTTTGGGCGTTACTAAAGAATACAAAAGTGTTGTAAAAAACACATTATTTATGTATCACTAGCGACTCACCCTCGCTTTTCTCGCCTTCGTCTAGCCTCGCCTAGGGTATGTATACAACTTCCGTATTTAAATCGGATATTATTGATTTTTTCATTGGTTTTAATTTTTTTTCGTGGTACCCTATTTTTTTCTAAAATAAAAGTAGCCTAAGTCATTCCTTATTACATCAGCTATCTGCCAGTGAAAGTCCCGTCAAAATCAGTCCATCCATTTTAGAGATTAGCCGGAATAAACAGACAGACAGACCGACAAAAATTGTAAAAAATGTTGTTTTGGTATATGTACCGTGTACATATATGCATTTAGTAAAAAGCTGTTATTTTGACATTACAAAGAGACATTTCAATATTATTTATCTGTATAGATTAAAGTCGATTTTTACTTTAATTGTTTTTTGAATCATGCATTTTCGCTATGTGATACTATAACGCCTTGATCTGATTACATCACGAAAAGTGTTCCGGTTGTATTCTGATCCTTCTAATTCTGTCCTTGACATTATCTTGACAGCTGAACAATGGTGTAATATTACATTATTGTTATTTATTGGAAAACTAGTCGCTGGAATCAGTATCTAAATCAATTTATTTTCATAAATATTTCATTTAAATAAGAAAAATAAACAAATATTAATAAAATACTATTATTTATTCATATTTTAATTTACAGCATACAAACAAGTTGTAGCACAGGTCGCATTTTGGGGAACAAATGCTAAATCAATAAAATTACCGAGATAAGATAAAAAACGTGCTGACGAATGTGATCTTAGTCTTAGTCGAGTTCGTCCCAAGCTTGCTTCTCAATACAAACTTACTTTCATCCTCATTTTCACCCCCTTAAGGAATGATTTCCGGGATTAAAGCTATCCCATTTTCTTCTTAGGGTCTCAAACTATTTTCTTACGAAATTTCATCTAAATCAGTTCTGTAGTTTCGGAGCCTATTCGGTACAATCAAACAAACAAACAAAAAACCAAATCTTTACTCTTTATAATATTAGTATAGATCACAGCGTTCAG